GACCCTAGTGAGGATTAAGCGGTGTATAGATGATGGATGGGATGGGAAGTTGCAAAGGTAAGGTGAAAGTTGCCTTTCCAGGTATTAAAATAAAAGAGTCATGAGATCATCATATTTTAAATATAAAAAACACAGACCAATATAAACACAACTTTTATTATCAATAAGGATGCACAACGGTACGTCTATCGATATATGGCGGCCAACTGATGAAATGTCTCCTAAAAAAAATCAGTTTCAGAGACTCAGGGAGTCCCAATACCCTGATAAACCACTTTAAAGTGTGTTTTTTCTCCTCCCTTTCTCAGTCATCTGTGTATTTGCATATTTACCCTCACAACAGACAGTGTCTCAGCAGTGAGTCAGTCATTACAAACCCACGCCCTGCATTAAAGCCTGCTCACTTTCTCTCAGTGTCATTATAATGTGGATTTAATGAAGAGGTGACGCTGCCAGTGGGGTGATTTCAGCAGCCTTACAGGTGAAACGTGAGCAATGTGATAAACTAACATAGTTTCATTGCTGTTTTAATCGTTCTTGACCTGCCAAAGAGACTTTCTCCACAATCAGAAAACACTGACGGTTCACATGTTGTCTTGTGTTACTGCTGACATCAATACACCTGTCAAACAGTGCGGGCGTGATGCATGTTAAAATTCTCGTTTTGGAATGATGGCATTGGCGAATCCTTTTTAACATACATGGCAGAGAGAAGGCGATGCTGACGACGTGTGGCTGATTCATAGACGGTGAATAACAAAACAGCTCTCGTGACAGTTTGACAGCAGCCGAGGTGATTTTACCGCGAGCTGAAAACTCTTCCACCCTCGAATAAAGCACGTTCTGATGCAATATCTCAAACAAAAAGTGTCTGACAAGTCTGTCAGGTGGCATCAGCAGAGTGTTAGTGCGCTGATGTCCACAGAGGGGAGACAGTCGTCTGGGTTTGTAGCTCTTACATCTGGAATCCAAACGCACAAAGGAAATTCAGTTTAAAGATGCAGCTTGTGTTAAATATTGACGACAACGGCTGATTCACATCATTTATTCTATTATTAAAACAGGAGTGAGATGAGAATTAAAACAAACATGGCCAGAGGACAAGATGGAATTAGAGTTTATGTAAACTGTAACAGAATATGCCTCATTTATCGTAAAGTGTGACGAAGCATCACATTAACATATAAAGATAAAAGGTAAAAATAACACGATGACATGATGACAGAGGGACTTTAAGGGCATTTGGGGTTGAGAAATAATCCTCAAATGTATTCCTACCCTTCCATTAAAGAAAAGGCAAAATTCACAATAGTCACTCAAATAACTAGAAACTGGAAAAAGTAATAATAAATAAAAAATTGCAAAATTCTAAATTAGTGAAATAAGACGTTGCTTTTGAATTGTGGTTGAAAAGAATAATTTTTAAAAACAAAACGGACACATTATAGCTCTTTGCTGATGAGCAGTGAAATCAAAAACACCTGTCAACAGGTGCACAAGTCTGATTGAGAGTTACAGAAAACACTTGATGGCAGTGATTGGCTGAAAGGATTGTTCAATTAAATATTAGTTTATGGGTCCCATCATGCTTGTTTGCTTGTTTTTTAAAAAATATTTCTGTTGAACCACAATTCAAAAACAGCGTCATGATTTTCAGTAAATTTTTATTTATTATTATTTTTGTCAATTTCAACTTATTTCAGTGACAGTTTTTTTTTTCCTTCTTTAATGGGAGGGTGTGAATACATTTGAGGACGACTGTACATATATATAAGAAACATAACAGAAATAATAATAATACATTTTTGTTGTATACTGTTTCTTAAACTACACAGTTGTAAACGTCTTCACATAAACCTGGGTTCCTTGGTTATATGAAGCCTTCACAATAAGTCGTGGTGTTTTAAGGCTGTGCCACTCAAACGGAGCTCGTTACCTGAGTTTCATGTGTTCGGTCTCTTTGTTTTTGAAGACATTGCACAAATTCCAGTCAACATCTAGTATGATACAACCACAGGAGTCTCTGTGAGGAAAGCATTGCCTGGGCCACAAGTAATCTGATCGGATTTCGGCGATCAAATTGGATCAGATCTTTGAAAATGGGTTATCTAAAACAGACAAACAAAGAAAGAGAGAATTATAAAATCAGATAAGATAATCCAGTCTTGGTTCTGATATGGAGCAAATCTTCAGTATCTGTTGTTCAAAAAATAAATAAAAATTCAGGATTATTCTGATCCCAGCAGAATGGAGGATTCCAGGTGGGTTTCAGGAACAAAATGTAATAAAACATTGAAGTTGGTGAGACAATACAATATTTATATCATGTAGTGTAAAATGCACTTGATCTGTGTCACTGTTAAAGTAGATAAAAGGGGCAAAAGGCCACATGTTTAGCTTGTCAGTACAGTACAATAAAATAATGTACTCATAAAATCAAGGAAAACGAATACGTTTAACCATCACTGTATATTGATTATAATAACAATCATCTCTTAAAAGCTGAACTTAAAAAGCCGATTTCTCCTCAAATGAAGAACTGTGAACGGCCTTTTCTTTGTTAGGTGTTGGAAATTTGGCTTTTTTTATGATTTAAAATGTGTTTTGATTATCCACAATGTACTTTTAAAGGAGATCGATTTGTTTGTGTTTATTTGTTGTGGGTCAGATGAGGTGTGAAAAAATCAAAATTAAAAAAACTTTTACAGAGACCTCACGATGTCTGTTTTCTTTACACATCCAGCCACCTACATTATGATATGTTGTCTTATTTAAGGCACTGGTTACCCAGATTTGGTCACTTTGAAAGGTTTGTGTTTAGATCGGGGGGATCCAAATGTAGTGTTGCTTTAAAAAAAAAAACTGGCACAAAGTGATTCCCTGATCCTGAATTGTAAAACATTTGATTTCCAAAACCAGCTCTTTCTAATTCAGATCAGACTTTTTTTTTTCTTATTTTCTGAACTATAAAATAACACACGTGTCATTTTTGTAACTAGAAATAATCCACGAGGCACAAAAAAAAAGGTCAATCAAAGTTTGGAGAGATTTTTCCATGTTGTTCCCTTAAACGGACGACAGAACCAGAGCATGGGCTGCTTTTTTTTTTTGCTTTTTTTTGTCATCACTTTTAACTTCCTGTCTGGGTTCAGACAGGAAAATTGCTCTCCCTCGATCTCAGCTTCTGTCAACACTTCACAGCCTCCGTGTCATCCATTATATCGCTGCGTCTTCCTCTCTTCCTGTTCCTGCTGCCCTCTCAGCCAGACGCCAGGCGCAAAACCGCTAGAAATCTGCCAAATTCTTATCTAATCAGCAGCCTGGCTTCAAGTACTGTAGGTGCTGCTCTGACAAACACAGGTTGTGCTTTGGAACTAGTTTAGTGCATTGCATTGTGTCGCCAGACTCTGTAATGTGCAATATCAGTTAACATGTAATCATATCAGGATATTTTGCTCTTGGACCCCCACAGCTTTTTCCTGTTCTGCTTCCTTCTTCTGCTCGCAGCAGCTATTCACTCAAACCAGCCACTTGTTTGTGTGCTCATAATCACACAGAAGTGCTAAATTAAAGGCAGCGTTGTCGAGGTTTGGAGAGACTCTAATGTCAACGAGGTGAAATACGAGCTTCGAGATGAGTTGGCAGTGGAGTGTGTGAATCTGAACTTCAGTCTGTAAGTGTAAGAAAATGGTTGCTCACAGTTTTCTGCTTCCAACAGCATTAATTATTCTCAACAGATTGATTTCACACAGTCGAGTAAATTGCGAGAAGAAAACAAAAAGCAAGCATTTCTTTTCTTTTTTCCCAGCCCCAACTGCAGTTTTTTTTTTTTTTTTTTTTACGAGTCTGGCTGTAGCCGTAAAACGTTGGGTGTAACGTCTCTCCGTGTTCCAGGAGTTGACTCACGGGACGGCGCTGGTCGTCGCGCCGCGGCTCCTGGAGGGTCTGAAGTCCTGACATATGACAGCCAACCTGTACATGTTCAGTATGACCACCAGGAAGTTCTTAATGGCAAAGAAAATGAGCATCTGGTGGAAGACCTCGAAGTAGGTCATGACGGTGAGCCGGACCACCAGAAAAGGTCCATCCTGGATGAACAAGGCCTCCACGATGCTCCATATGTCGGTGCTGTGTTTACTCAAGAGGGAGGCCTCCTGGACGCCCTCGTCGCCCTCGCTGTCTTTCTTGGAATTCACCACTATTCAGAAAAAAAAAAAAAGAAGGTTGATAGCAGAATGAAACTAACACTGGGGAAGCTGGGTGCTGAAGCGGTGTTCGGCTCCACATTTAGTAGCTGTTCAGTCACGCCACATGTTCTGTATCAGCTGTTTTCAAGGTCAGCAATCAGTTTTTCAGGGAACACGGGCGAAAATCTCTGAAAATAAACAGTTCCAGGACAACGAACCAAACTCAGTCTGCTGACGACAATAAAAGAAAAGCTCCAGAGCAGCTACTGACGGCACTGGACAGTTTTTTTTTCAGCCGCTCTCCGAACATGTTGCATTTGTCTGTCAACACTTTGGGTGTTTACAAGACACTCAAACACACTGGACACACAACGACACACCCACGTTAGCGCACACAAACACACACACGCTGACAGAAAGGCAGCTTCATTTGTAAACACGAGCTAAGTGCATTAAACACACTATCATGGTAAAGACACACAACATCATCATTATTAGCTTCCATTCATAAATGATGAGGTAGAGTTATTAATAATTAAAATCATTTGTGTGGTGAGTTTTTTCCCAGAGAACAGGGCTGTGTGTCCTTTCTTTCTTGAAGCCATAACCTTTGTTGTATCAGGCAGGTAGTCAATGCAAAAAAAAAATTTAAAAATAAATCTGCTAGTTGGGCCTTTCCTCATAAAGCCTTCATTTCATCAACCAAGTCAGACACTTTTAGCCCCTATAATGCCACCAAGAAGACCCCATCATTGTTCCCCTTTGGCGCATTCACGCTGAACCACATAAACTGACCTAATGTACGGCAGTGTGTGCTTCCTGGTAGCGTGCCAACGTTCCACAATCAGGGGCTTGACCTGGAACACAGACGTCAATTTGACTCTACTGCTGCTGCTGCTGCTGCTGCTGCCAGCTTCAAGTGGCCAAAATCCAGTTTTTCACTGTTTTTTTTAAAACATAATTACATGTTTTCATTGTGTCTATAGACCCACACAATTAGAGAAAATACCATCCTCTTGACAGCTAAAGCACTGGACACTCAGATCTAAACTATAATATCAGTTATTTGCAA